ACAGCCCACCCGATCCGGTAGGCGCTCTCTTTCTTCCTCTCTTATGCCTCCTCCTTCTCTCTTCTCTCTTTCTCCTTCCTTCTTCTCCCCTCTTCTTCTTCTTCTTCTTCTTCTTACGCTTTGTCGTTTTTTTTTTTTTTTTCCCCCGTGGTCTCCCACTTTCACGATATCTCCTCCCCCGCTTTCATTCGCCTTTCTCTTTTTTTTCTCCCCCCTTGTTCCTAGTTCGTTGTCCCCCGAGGTCGATCTTCGCGGAGTCACACTGAATTCCTCAATGGCTTAGCACGTCTGGGATCCCAGCTAACTCCTTGACTGAACCTACCGTGATCTCAGCGGTAGATTCACTCAGGCGAGGTTATGTGGGATTTCTGACCACGGGGCCTAAAAACGAAATCTAACTAAAAGAAAAGTAAAATAAAAGAAACAAAAACAAAAACAAAAAAGGATCTAACTCCTAACTACCCCGTCGTGACAACTGTCACAACGGGTTATAGTCGTACCTAATTTCAACTTCGAAGTCACGGGTTCGAATCGCACTTGGCTGAGGATGGGCGAAAAAGGCAGGCCCTGCCCCTTACAGCAAGCAAAAGGAGCTAGCCCGGAGCCAGGTCGCACTCGATCCTAGGATCCTCTGCGTATCAGTCTGCACCTGTACCTACTAGGCTAGCTCCAAGTTCTGTTTCATCAGGAGCTAATCTGCCCTAAGTAGAGTACAAGGCCCAGTTCAATCAGTACTTAAGGCTTGCAGCCTACTGTAGGGGAAAATCAGGCCACCGTTTGGCCACTGCGGCCTGCTACAAGAGGCTAGGCCCCTCTTGCCTAGTCGCCCCGGCCACATGGCCGGGGTTTTTACTAATTTTTCTTTACCTATATTTTATCCCACGGGGAGTGGTATCCTGCCCCGTTTATCCGATACACTCGACGTCTGCGGTCTCGAACCGAAACAGTCATCTGACTGAGAAAAACCGTCGTCGTGTCCCGCACGACTCTTTTCCGTTTTAACTAACCTTCCGACCTTGTGGTCGGAGGTTTTATTTACTAATCGCTTTGCAGTCTTTGGGCGTGCCGGAACGGCGTGCATGGTCACTTCACCTACTAACCTCCGTCGTCTTTGCACGCTCTGCGAGCATTCAAAATTTTTAACCCCTGACTCCTGTCCGCTTGTGCCGTGTTTTGGTCCTTGCGGTTTTCAACTTTCATGACCACAATGGTCGAGGGGTTTACCACAGTTTCTATTTTTAGCCGACCCCGTTCTAACAGTTGGTGTCGACATTATGTCGAATGCAAAATTATGAGCGGATACCCTTGTAAGGGTATCAGCTCCGACAGTCTTCCCAGACCCCATTAAGCGACGTCCCCGTCGCTGGGGAATCTAAATGCAAACAAAGGCCTTTTGACGGGACAAGTTGTCAAAATCCGATTTCTTAGATGAAGTTGTGGTTTGAAGACCCTCACCATTTCCCTTGGTGCGTCCATACTGTCAGGATTTCAACATGGGTCCCCCACATACTAACAATTGCAATACCAAAGAAGAATTATTCCATATGACTCAAAGTGGGGATACTGGATCTGTACTACAGTTACAAAGGTCACCAAGGAAGATAATGATAGGCTCCCTCCTCAACTTTAGACTTTATTACCAGGATCTCGTTGGGTGTCCGAGGAGTAAGGAATCTTATCCTTTGGACGAGGGTTTCAACCTTAGTCTGTTTTTACCGTCCCACCCGAAGTCTAATGTGAGGGGATCGGCAACCTCGGTCTCAACCCACCACAGTCGGTTGATCAGGCCTGATCTGTGACCCATCATGTTGTTAATTTAATGGTGGTACCTGTATTGGTTACGCAACACGTGATAAAATACCTCCTATCAAATATCTAGACCTGACTCTCGATCCCCCCGATATCTACCTGGACTTATACTATCATTAGGGAGCCCCTCCCCTCAAGTTTATTCCAGGCCGTAATCGGAAGGTCCGCTGCCTGGTTATACTTGGTCAGCAACCCACGCTGGGAGTTACGTCCCAACGATGCCAATTTTTCACCATAGGCTTGATAATTTTAAGTCCCTTAGACTGACCTTCATAAGTGGATGATCGATGATTATTTCAAAAATACACATATGAAATTCAACTTGACCAGATAAAATTTATCTCCCCTCGTCAGTTGTCTTTGAATGGATGAACAAACCCATTGAATATATGTGAAAGAAACAATATCAATAAGAATGATTCAATATGGTTGAAAAATTTGTCTCTGATCAAGGGGCATCGTCAGAGCCACTTAGGGGCCGTGCCTACCAGACCTCGATCACAGGCTGGATAGGCACACATCTCGGGGATCTTTTTCTAATACAGAAGTCAACCAAAATATCCATAATGAAAACAAAAGTATGTGTTTGACCCCTTGTCTTGTCAGAAGGCAGAAAAAATATCCATTCCATTTATAACATACATCTTCCTGATTCACAGGGTTTTCTCAAATGTATAATAACTTTGACTTTTTCATACCCCTTTTTAGGGTCTGCTTCAAAAATAAACATAAATGACTCATCATAGGTGCAAAACAACTTTCAAACTTTGCAAATCTCATTTCAGTCACTCTTGAACACTTAGGCGCTTTTCTGAGCATCCTAGTTCAAGATCTAACAGCATAGACTGCACATATATCCAAAGTACACATTTTATCCACAAATATCAAGCACTGGACCAACTCATTGTGAAAGTGCAAAGTATTAAAGTTCCCCATAGGTAAACCTTGCTAATAACTTTAGAATAGAGAAACTCAATTGAACACAAAAGTATATGTCCAAAATTGATCCAGACTGATGCACAAATCCTCAAGATAGAAAATGAACCATACGTTTGATCTACCCTCAACTACTAGAGTACAAAATGCCGAGTTCGAATAATATACATGATCCTCAAATCTTAGTACTATACCTAGACAAAAATACTCCATCCGATGCTCGTAAGAAGAGCAAATATCATCCTCACCATACTGCCTCATTCACCCCCAGTCCCTAATATACAATACCTGTCTAAAAGAAATCAAAACTGTCTTATTCTAATTCTCTAAAGTGAGTCCCAACTGCTCATACAACTGAACCCTGAACCCTTCCTTGGTTCTTTTAATCAGATTCCCCTTCCTATCGACGAGTCTATTGTTCTCATCGAGACTAACTAACCCTTTTTCTCTATCTGTCCTAAGACCAGGACAATCATCCATCTTGTGGACTCCCTTCATACAGTACCAACATAACTTCTTCTCCTCTTCCTTTGATCTCTTTGCAAACGATGGGACATCTAGTGACGCAGCCCCAATTAATGTTTCAAGGAAAAACCTCTTCCTCTCCTGTCCCATTTTGTTATCAGTCAGTGATATTTGATCCTTTTTAGGCAAGGTGACAACTCCTACTATCAACCCCTTGTTCTGACTGTTGTCATCAAGCCTCTCCTCTTCTTTTTCAACTCTCAGGTCTTCCCTCCTTTCCTCATTCTCCTCCTTTTCAACTTTTGTCTGAATATCCCCTGTTGACTTCTTCAAGGCTTCCTCCACCTTCTTCCACTTCTTTTCCCACCTCTCATTTTCCAGCTTCCTCTCGCTCTTTTCCGTTTCAATTGCCTTTCCTTGTTCACTGACTTTTGCCTCCAACTTACCAATCTCTTTTTCAAGCTTCTCCCTTCCCACCTTTTCTGTCTCCGCCTCTTTACTCTTGTTGTCAAGAGCAGTGCTTAGTGTCTCCACCTTTACCTCCAATTTTCTTTGTTCATTCTTTGTTTTTTCCACCTCAGTCTTCAAACCCTCCATTTCCTTTTCCACCTTTGCCCACTGCATGTCCCTTTTTTCTTCTCTTGCTCTCAACCTCTGAATCTCCTTCAGGATCTCAGGGACATGGCTTGCCACTCCTTGCGTGAACAACTCTGTTTTTTCCTTCATTCCGTCCTGAAGTTCCTGAAAGGTAACTTCTAATTCCCTTCTCCTTTCTTCGTCCACTTTTTTCAACCTGCCGTCCACTTCTACCTCCCCCTCAAGGATTCATTCACAATCGTCCCTGAGTAGCTCATTCAACCGGATCAACCTGTTCATATCAGTTGCTAGCTTGGAGTTGATCACGGTCTCAGAGACTAGCATCCTTTCCAACTTCAAGCTTCTATGTGCGTTTGAAGGCAACTCATTTTCCCTTAACGAGGCCACAACCCAATTTCTCCATTCCCTGTTTTCTTTCTCTTTTCTCTACCTCTTTTCCTCTGTCCATCTCCTTGTGCCCCGTTCCTTTGGAGGCTCATTGGAAGTAGGCTCTTCTGCAGTTCCAAATGGTCCTGCCCTTTCATTCTTCTCACTGTCCTTCTTCTTTCCCTTCACCTTTTCGTCTCCCTTTTTCACCTTTCCTGTCGTGCCATTGCCTTCCACTTCCTTACCATCATGCTCCTCCATTTGTGTCTTGTCTTCTTTTATTGAGTCATCTTCATCTTGAGCTCTGTCCTCATCATTCCCCTGCTGAGGGGCTGTGATATTTCCCCTATCTTCCTTCTGAACTCTTCTTTCTATCCTCTCTCCCCTCTTGCCAATCCACAATCCATGCTCCTGAAGTAACTGTTTCTTCTTTTGTCTTTGCACCTCTAAGGGATAGGCCTTTCTCATCTTGACAAGGAAGTTCCCCCTGGTGTCTGACTCCTTGATCTTTTTCACTGCCTCATACTCCCTCGGTGCTATCCTCCTCATCACTTGTTCCAACATCTTTCTTTCACCCCACCTTTTTTTTTTCTGAGCAAAGACGGATGTTGTCCTCGCAATCCTCCAAGTTGGTGCCATCGAAGATGATATCATCCTCGATTTCATCCCTCGTCAGATCCCCATATTTTGCCCACATGCCGGCTTTGAAATCCATCCATCCTAGACATTCTAAGGCAATCTCGTCTATCACTTCGTTACACTCCCCCAACCCTGTCACCTGTTCAAGCATGGTTTGAGTACTCCACTCTCTCCTGAAGGCATGCTCCTCAATTTCCCTCAGGAAAATCCTCAGATTGTTCCCTTTCTTGTAAATGGGCATCCCATTGGAATCCTTAGTTACCAGTTGCGCCTTCTTTTGCCTTTCTCTTCCACGAGTTGTCCTGGAAGGACCCGCCATCCCTCCCTTCTGTGTCATGGCTGCCTGTTTTCCTGGGTCACGCCTGCACACAGAAAAGGAAAGGGAGTGACAGATAAAGGGAAAGGTTAGCAGCTGGTTAACAACAGACTGTTCGCAAAAGACATGCCACAACAAAGGCTTCACAAAATCATCATGTTTTTCTTTCATCTTATATCAACTCACCTCTTGCCTCATTTTGAACTTGTTCAGCCTAGATCCGAAAATCTAGTCTTTTCTTGGTGCTCCATCCATCTCTTCCAGTTCATAAGCTCCATAATTCCCTCTGCGTCTGACTCTGAAAGGTCCCAACCATCTCTTGTCTAGCTTCCTCGACCATTGCTTCTCGAGTGAGGAGTCATACAGCAGTACTATCTCTCCAACCTCCAATGGTTCACATTTACGCGCGGAGATCTATCCCACCTTTCTTTGTCACTTCCACGACTGTCAGCAACTCTCTCCACTGCTTTCTGTATCCGTTCTTCAGTAATACTGACCTGCCTGACCCTGATGTCAAGCAATTCCGCCTGAGGCATATCATTCTCGAGATCCTGCCTTCGCCATGCCTTTAAGAAACTCTCTATAGGAAACGTGGCATGTCTTTCATACCACATGGTTGCAGGGGCATAACCTATGGTTCTCTTGACTGTGATGTTCTCGACAAAGAACACCGTTCTTAGGAACTTGGGCCACAGGTTTGACTTTCCAGCTGTCCACTTTGCCAACAAATTGGTGATCGTACCGAACCCTCTTTCAACAGGTGCATTCGCCTGCGGATGTGCTCTGGTCGTGTACTTGGCAATAAGTCCTAGGTCGTCCAACAGCTCTTTCACTTCCTCACACGTAAATTCAGACCCCCTATCCATTGTAAACTCAACAACGAAAGAATACTGGAGGTAGTATTCCTTGATGCATTCTGCCAAGACTGCCCCTGTCTTAGTTCGGATGACTTTTCCATCAACAAATCCCATGAGATTGTCTCGGGCATCAAAGATATAGTTATAGCCTCCGACTCCCAAAGGCATTGCTAGGAGATCCAGATGGATCACTGCCCCCACATCCTTGATATATCTCGGATGTAGGGGTTTCTTGCACCTGATTGGAGATCTGATTTGACAGGGGACACACGATTCGCAGTACTTTCGGATCATTCCATACATATCTTCCAAAAAATACAGCTCGGTCACCTTCTTGATGGTAGTGGCGAAACTCTTGTGACCACCTACGGGTCCATCATGAAGCGCTGATATTACATCGATCTGTCGGTTCCTGCCACAAATGACCTGTCCTAGGAGGTCCCCTTTTGTCCCTGATGAAGAGATAGCCTCCCCTCACTATGTAATGATCTCTCATACGAAGAGTTTTCTTATCAACATCTCTTTCACGCTTATCCCCGGAGAGAAGAAGTCTCATTTCTAGGTGGAACCCATCATATTCCTCTTCTCGGAAATCCTCCGAGATCTCTCCTTGTTCAAACTCTTCTCCTTTCATCTCTTCATCGAATCCGAAATCATCGCCCAACATTATCTCGTCTGCCTTTACTATCTCTTCCTTATTGTCAGCCTGAACTTGTAGTAGTGAGTTGACGAGGTAGTGTATTCTCCCCATTGTCAGTAGGTGCTGATGTACCTGCTTCGTTCCTGCCTCAATCGTTACTGGATCGTCAGTAAGTCTGTAGGTTTCTGCCAGAGCCAACTCTTCCATCCATTCTCCATTCCTTTCTTCCTATGGGTCCTCTTCCACGAAAGGCTTCAATACCAACCCATCGATTTTTACAAAGGTTGCTGGAGCGTACCACATGGACTTTCCTCTCCTTACATCCCTATCATTAACACTTAGTCTCCATGAATTCACATGGAGCTGCATGTCATCTTCATCTAGGAATCCATCCACTGGTGGTGTCTCTTCCTTTGCATCTCAAGTCTCCATGAA